TGAGTATTTTTTTCTGTGTGAGTATTTTTTTCTGGGGAGAAACAAGACAGAGAGGGAGACAGAATTCCTCAAAGGATTAGTGACATTTTGAACATATTTGGGAGTCTAAAAGAACAAATTGCTAGAACTTTGGCAAAGAAATTTTTCATAAAGACTATCAGTGAGACTCTATAAAAGTAATGAAATACTCTTTTCCTTATCCTTTTGTTATATAGCACAAGTTATTTTATCATGCATGTCAAATATATATTAGTATTACTCTTTCTGCATGGCTAAATTTCAGGATCAAAGAAGGCACTAAAGTCATTGGTGCCATATGTGTTAAATATTTTATTTTTAAATATTTTATTATTAAAAGAATAAGAATTTAAACAAAACTTGCTATGTTCCAAGTTTGAAATTTGGCAAGCACAAAAGGACCATTTAAAAGTGAAATTAATTTCTTTGCTGCCATCTAGTGGTTAAACAACTTTTCTCAGCGTAACCAAAGGTAAGTTAAAATAGGGCTTCATTGATTATTTCATATTTTACATATAAAAATTCTAAATTTTAGTAAATAGGAGAAATATAGGACTAACTATTAAATGATCTTAATCATGCTACTTTTAAAGTAATACAGTTTTATTGTCTTCCATATCTACCATCTCTATTCTCATTTTTTCAAGCCTCCTAATTACTTAGCTTGCATCATCTCCTACCCCTCTCTGATCATTTTCCTGCAATAAATTTATGGTGATCTCTTTAAAAAGCAAATGCTCCCTGCCAAGCTTAAAACTTTAACTTGAAATTGCTCTTGGAATAAAGACCAAACTCCAAGTAGACCTGCAAGGTTACACGAAACCTGACTCCCACCTGCCATTCTAGCATATTTTCCTGTATCTCTTATTTCTCTCGTCACAATGGCCTGCTTTTTCTCTCCATCTTACCACATTCTTTCATATCTACCCTTACACTTGCTGTCCCCTCTGCATACTAGATGCTTCCCTCTCTTCTTCACATAGTAATTCCTGCTCATTCTGAGCTATCATCCCTGCCCTCAGGAAGCCTCTCTAATGCTGTCAGATTTCCCTGTTACAGGTGGTCATAGCAGCATGTATCTTCATAGTTCTTATCTCATTTGCAGTCTAACACTTATGGGTCTGATTATTTTATTGATGTTTTTCTTTCTCACCAGACTGCATGCTCCTGGAGGGTAGGAAACACATTTTTTTTACTTGTCAAGTCTTTGGTATCAGGTTATTAACAACTGAATATAAATGTTATTAGGTTAACGACTGAATATAATGTTAGGAAATAGGCTAACAATTTTGAATTATAGACATGCCAGGGTGAAGGCTTACCTTAATCATTATGAGGGGAAAGAATCTGTAGTTAGCAAAATACAAATATGGGCACAAGATGCACTGGCTTCACTTTACTGAACCATATATTCTTGAAGTGTAACTAGATGCGTCCAAGTTTTAGGAAGCTTTTTAGTCTCTTCAAGTAGGTAGACATTTGCATTTATATACACCTCCAGTTGGCTTTTTGTAGTACCCAATGATTTTCCACAATGAAAGAGACTGAGGTATGGGTGTCTGGAGGTGTGAAATATCTAGCCCTGTATGAATTCGGGTAGCTCCTCTGTACTTCACAAGAGGGCTGCACAGGATATTTGTGCAGCCCTCACCCAACATGCATGTTCTTTGCCTTTGATCACAATCATTTATAAGATCTAAACCAATACGTTCTAAACCAGAGATACATGATTTAGTCATTGTAGTGTTGCTAAAAAAATTATATTGCTGATACAATTTCTTATCAAAAGCTGATACCTAGTTTGTTTTCTTTCAATTAGGATTTTTTTATGCTGGGCATTATTTACATTAATGAACAAGTATAAATATAGACTAAGAAACTGCTTAACAAAAGCAGTTTTGATTTGCCAAAAAATTCCATAATTTTTATTGTGATATAATTCAATACCATGAAAGTCACCATTTAAAATTGTACAATTCACTAGTTTTTAGTATATACAAGGTTGTGTAGCTATTACACTGTCTAATTCTAGAACATTTTTATCACCCCCTGAAGAAACCTGATATCCATTAGCAGTCATTCTACATTCCCTCCTCTATTTAGCTACTGTCAAATAGTTATTTTTATTGAAAATTGTTCTTTTTCCCTTGCAGAATCCAAGAAAACAGGGGCCTGAAACCCAAGGCAGTACAGCAGAATTAATTACAGGCCTTGTCCAACTGGTCCCTCAGTCACACATGCCAGAGATTGCTCAGGAAGCCATGGAGGTAAGGGAAAAAAGATTTCTAGGCTCTGGTAACTATATACATTCTTGATGTTTCTTTGCTATGTAGTTTCTGTGAGCGGTAGATGTAGTTTCTGGACATCTGTCAGAGAACTATGTCATTTATGGAGATGATGTTTTTGTGTCTACACTGTATTATGAACTCCATGGAGAAAGAAGGGATTTGCTTACTTTCTATCACACATAGCAATACATTGTGCATATTCTTATGCTTAATAAAACATTCAGAATTTTCTCATTGTAGTTGACTCTCAAAATATGTATTAAAATTTCAAAATATATATTAAATCCAGATACAATTCACCTACCATAAAGTTTACTGTTTTAAAGTGTACACGGTAGTTTTTAGTGTACTCACAACGTTGTGCGGCCATCTCCACTATTTAATCCTCATTTCCCTGTCATCCCAGCTGCTAGCAACCCCACTCTGTCTTCTGTCTATAGATTTGCTCATTCTAGATATTTCATATAACTAGGATCATATAATATGTGGCTTTTAGTGTCTGCCTCTTTTCATTTAATGTAACGTTTTCAAGGTTCACCCATGTTTTAGC